TGACTTCTGTAATCGCAAAAGTCTTGGTTTCTTGCACATAAATATCAGAAGTCTACTTCCTAAGTTTGAGTTATTCACTGCGTTAGCACACTCTGCCAACCCTGATGTTCTAGCAGTGTCTGAATCCTGGCTCAGGAAGGCCACCAAAAATTCTGAAATTTCCATCCCCAACTATCACATTTTCCATCTAGATAGAACTGCCAAAGGGGGTGGAGTTGCAATCTACTGTAGAGATAGCCTGCAGAGCTCTATCATACTATCCAGGTCTGTGCCCAAACAGTTTGAGCTTCTACTTCTAAAAATCCACCTTTCCAGAAATAAGTCTCTCACTGTTGCCGCTTGCTACAGACCCCCCTCAGCCCCCAGCTGTGCCCTGGACACCATATGTGAATTGATTGCCCCCCATTTATCCTCAGAGTTTGTACTGCTTGGTGACCTAAATTGGGATATGCTGAATACCCCAGCCATCCTACAATCCAAGCTAGATGCCCTCAACCTCACGCAAATTATCAACGAACCTACCAGGTACAACCCTAAATCCGTAAACATGGGTACCCTCATAGATATCATCCTGACTAACATACCCTCTAAATACACCTCAGCTGCCTTCAACCAGGATCTCAGCGATCACTGCCTTATTGCCTGCGTCCGTAACGGGTCCGCGGTCAAACGACCACCCCTCATCACTGTCAAACGCTCCCTAAAACACTTTAGCGAGCAGGCCTTCCTAAATGACCTGGCCCAGGTATCCTGGATGGATATAGATCTCATTCCGTCAGTAGAGGATGCCTGGTTGTTCCTTAAAAGTAATTTCCTCTCAATCTTAAATAAACATGCCCCATTCAAAAAATACAGAACTAAGAACCGATATAGCCCCTGGTTCTCCTCAGACTTGACTGCCCTTGACCAGCACAAAAACATCCTGTGGCGTACAGCATTAGCATCAAATAGCCCCCGCGATATGCAACTTTTCAGGGAAGTTAGGAACCAATATACACAAGCAGTCAGGAAAGCAAAGGCTAACTTTTTCAAACAGAAATTTGCATCCTGTAGCACTAACTCCAAAAAGTTTTGGGACACTGTAAAGTCCATGGAGAATAAGAGCACTTCCTCCCAGCTGCCCACTGCACTGAGGCTAGGATACACTATCACCACCGATAAATCTACAATAATCGAGAATTTCAACAAGCATTTTGCTACAGCTGGCCATGCTTTCCATCTGGCTACCACTACCCCAGCCACCAACTCTGCACCCTCTGCTGCAACTTGCCCATGCCCCCCCCGCGTCTCCTTCACACAAATTCAGACAGCTGATGTTTTGAAAGCGCTGCAAAATCTGGACCCCTACAAATCAGCTGGGCTAGACAATCTGGACCCTTTCTTTCTAAAACTAGCCGCCGAAATTGTCGCAACCCCTATTACTAGTCTGTTCAACCTCTCTTTCATAACGTCTGAGATCCCCAGAGATTGGAAAGCTGCCGCGGTCATCCCCCTCTTCAAAGGGGGTGACACTCTAGATCCAAACTGCTATAGACCTATATCCATCCTGCCCTGCCTTTCGAAAGTATTTGAAAGCAAAGTTAACAAACAGATCACCGACCATTTCGAATACCACCGTACCTTCTCCGCTATGCAATCCGGTTTCCGAGCTGGTCATGGGTGCACTTCAGCCACGCTCAAGGTCCTAAACGATATTATAACCGCAATTGATAATAGACAGTACTGTGCAGCCGTCTTCATCGACCTGGCCAAGGCTTTCGACTCTGTCAACCACCGCATTCTTATTGGCAGACTAAATAGCCTTGGTTTCTCAAATGACTGCCTCGCCTGGTTCACCAACTACTTCTCAGATAGAGTTCAGTGTGTCAAATCGGAGGGCCTGTTGTCTGGACCTATGGCAGTCTCTATGGGGGTGCCACAGGGTTCAATTCTTGGGCCGACACTTTTCTCCGTGTATATCAATGATGTCGCTCTTGCTGCTGGTGACTCTCAGATCCACCTCTACGCAGACGACACCATTTTGTATACATCTGGCCCTTCATTGGACACTGTGTTAACAAACCTCCAAATGAGCTTCAATGCCATACAACAATCCTTCAGTAGCCTCCAACTGCTCTTAAACACTAGTAAAACTAAATGCATGCTTTTCAATCGAACGCTGCTGGCACCCGCCCACCCGACTAGAATCACCACTCTCGACGGGTCTGACCTAGAGTATGTGGACAACTACAAATACCTAGGTGTCTGGTTAGACTGTAAACTCAACTTCCAGACTCACATAAAGAATCTCCAATCCAAAGTTAAATCTAGAATCGGCTTCCTATTTCGCAACAAAGCCTCCTTCACTCATGCTGCCAAACATGCCCTCGTAAAACTGACTATCCTACCGATCCTTGACTTCGGCGATGTCATTTACAAAATAGCCTCCAACACTCTACTCAGCAAATTGGATGTAGTCTATCACAGTGCCATCCGTTTTGTCTCCAAAGCCCCATACACTACCCACCACTGTGACCTGTACGCTCTTGTTGGCTGGTCCTCACTACATGTTCGTCGTCAAACCCACTGGCTCCAGGCCATCTATAAATCACTGCTAGGCAAATCCCCGCCTTATCTTAGCTCATTGGTCACCATAGCAGCACCCACCCGTAGTCTGCGCTCCAGCAGGTATATCTCACTGGTCATTCCCAAAGCCAACACCTCCTTTGGCCGCCATTCCTTCCAGTTCTCTGCTGCCAATGACTGGAACGAATTGCAAAAATCTCTGAAGCTGGAGACTCTTATCTCCCTCAATAACTTTAAGCATCAGTTGTCAGAGCACCTTACCGATCACTGCACCTGTACACAGCCCATCTGAAATTAGCCCACCCAACTACCTCATCCCTATATTGTTATTTATTTTGCTCTTTTGCACCCCAGTATCTCTATTTGCACATAATCTCTTGCACATCTAGCATTCCAGTGTTAATACTATTGTAATTATTTTGCACTATAGCCTATTTATTGCCTTACCTCCATAACTTGCTACATTTGCACACACTGTATATATATTTTCTGTTGTATTTTTGACTTTATGTTTTTTACCCCATATGTAACTCTGTGTTGTTTTTATTGCACTGCTTTGCTTTATCTTGGCCAGGTCGCAGTTGTAAATGAGAACCTGTTCTCAACTGGCTTACCTGGTTAAATAAAGGTGAAATAAATAAAATAAAAAATAAAAAACTCCAACAGTGAGGTCAAAGTGAAGTGGGGTTGGTTTGGGTTGGGGATGTGGTAGGGACTGTGGGTGAATGGGAGGTGAGATGGATCAGAGATCCTATAGTTCTTTAGGACTCCAAAGGATTTGGTCTTCCTGCTTTATAAGAGTTGAAGTCTGAGGTCATCTGAGGTCCCATGTCCCACTTTCCCAAGGTATCATTCTCTTCTCTCTCCCTGTAAAGACAAGGCAGGAGGCCTGTAGGTGAGAACTTTATTTGTCCTACTTTTTACCATCCCTTCATCGTAGCTTAAGCATATGTGTCACGCTATGTCTTTCAGCGGCTGTATGCACTCAAGCAGATTCCCACAGTTATCTTCATTTGCCATACAAGGCTACTGTACTATTTGTTCCAGAGCAGCACTGAGGGCTTGTGTATTTGAATGAGGAAATATGATGCTCAGAAAAGTTTTCACATGTGGGACCTTGAAGAATGTTTGCCTGATACAGTATCAACATGTCTTTTTACAATGCATACAATATGCTCAAACAAGAAAGGGGGATGTGGGTTTAGATAGTTTAGACTGGAGAGTGATCAAAAGATGAAACAGACACTTACATCAGAGAATAGGAGTTTTAGTTCCATGGGGCGGAAATCCTGTGCTATTTTGTTTCTTTGATCTGGTAGTCTTCTGTAAAAGATAATAGGTGGGCTCTATCACTTGGCAGTCGACCATCTCACGCACCCAAAGGGTCCTGGAGTGTGTGTGTGTGTGCATGCGTGTGTACGTGACGGTATGCCTTTGCGTGTGTATGTGACGGTGTGTGCGTGTGCGTGTGTGTGTGTGTGTGTTTGTTTGCATGTGGTGGGAGATTCCCAAGCCAGTTTTTATGAAACAGCTTACTTTAACTAAACCTCAGTTTCTAGTTTATTATTCCAGATTTATGGAAGGTGAGTAGTTTATTTAGGCTTATTTGTGTTATTCCAAGGGTAAGATTTTTATCAGAATGCCTGTGTTATTGCAGTTCTGTGGAGTTTACTTATCTTGGATGTATATTTTGCACAAAACATTGTAGAGCAGAGAAAATGGAAATAACTTAATTTGTTGCCTTTGTGAGCAATGTTTCACAGTACACAATATAATTTCCCCTTAAATGTTTCATGTTGGGATGATGGCAATGTGCATTGTCTAAGTAATTTGAGTTAGTGCCAGCTCCAGCAATAAATATATTCTGACATGATCCCCCACTGAGTTTAGCCATAGACTCTACTTTAAAATACCTCTAAGCTCCACTTGTGTTATCAAACCTGTCCCAACTATTTGAATGAGTGGAGATCAGATGCACTACACTGTCCTACAATGTTGTGGAGGAATGCACCTTTCATTATAACATTTTATGTTTTGTAGTGAATCAAAAGTGAATCACTGCATAATTGTTGTGATACTTGTGGCCATCTGGTAGAGTTTTCTTTATTAACTCATTTAAACTCTGGGAAGAAAAGAGATGTCTGCCAGTGCTGTGAGAGTGAGTAAGGCACTAGTTTCTGCAGAAACAGTTTAGATAATACATCTTCAGAAGAAGGAATGTGATTGTCACTATACTGTTGAGGTCCTTGTCTGTTCAGCATTGTTGGACTCAGGAAGCTCCTTTTGAACTAGCCCCCCGTCTCCTCTCCACCTCATTCTCTCACCTACAGTTACAAAGACAATCTCCATCCTCATACTCCCAGTCTGTACAGTCCTTTTTGCTGTCTACCATCCACTTCCACAGCTCCTCCCCCTTCTGGCTGCCCATAGGCGAATCACGCATGTCCCTTCCTGGCTGACCCCTGAGCCCTGCGGTTCATCTGGTGCAGCAGGAGCAGGAAGAGGGCAGAGACGATGAGGGCCACGCCTGCCATGAGGAAGCCTGTCCCATAGTCACTCATCTTGTCTATAAAGAATCCTGGGTGAAGAAAAGATGGGACACAATTATTACCATGTCCATGCATGTATTATAGTAATCTTTCATAATTATGGGATATAAGGAATTTGTTCCCCTCACTAATGATTGCTTACTATTTCCACACACTAAGCTGTTTAAGAACACCACAGACCAACCCATATCTTGCTTTTAACCCTTCCCTTATGTTCAATTTGGCCAACACAGTTTATGTTCCGGGTCAGTTTGACCCGTACAGTAGGTACATCAAGCTCATAAATGTATGATTTTAACCTCCTAAACTGTATTTTTCAGGAGCTGAGAATGTCCTCTTTCATATGCTTTTCCCCCTGAGTTGATAGACCCAACTGTTCAATTTTCTTTGCCAAATGTTTGATTACTGTACCAAAGACATAAATCAATCAAATTATGACATTTTATGACATCTGTGTCATTTTCTGCCAATGTTTTGCCAAACATCAGATCACTGTCCCTCGGCCTCTGAATACCACAGGGAAAACATACTTATATCCTTATGATCATCATGGATAGATCTTTACTGCACATAAGACCGTTAGTCTCTAGCACAAAGGTCAAGGTCAAATTGACTTGACTAAAATTGGATTCAGATTAGTGTTGCTCAGGAAAATCACACGTATAATGGTTGCAACATTCTTGTTCAGAAAGCAGCTTGTTTCTAGGACACACTTTTTTGGTTACTACATGATTCCATATGGGTTATTTCATAGTTTTGATGCCTTTGACTGGTACTGTATATTACATGTTTTACAAGCTTGAGATCCATAGTTAGGAAAGTAGAAGGGTCATGGTGGAAAAGTAACGTAAAATATTATTTTAGTGATTTCAAACTCTGTTCCGGGTCAAATTGCCCCCGGAACATAAGGGAAGGGAAAATCAACATACAACTTAGATTTTCTGTATCTTAATGGCCTTTTAAATGAACTTGAAACAGAATTTGGAGATGTGATATTTTGATACCGTGCTAATCCAAAGAGCTTTAATTGTGTTGATAATGTTCCCTGGGCTGTAGTCTCTCTGCTAAGCCCCCCCCCCCCACTCCCTCTCTCTCAGCAGTAGTGTTTAATATGAGAGAGAGAGAGAGAGAGAGAGAGAGAGAGAGAGAGAGAGAGAGAGGAGAGAGAGAGAGAGAGAGAGAGAGAGAGAGAGAGAGAGAGAGAGGAGATCTCTAGCTCTACTCTCGCTCTCTCGATCTTCGCTCTCTTCTCTCTCTCTCTTCTGTCTCGCAGGTCTCTCTCTCTCTAGCTCTCTGCTCCGCTCATCTCTCTCGTTCGCTCATCTCTCTTCTCTCTCTCTCTCGTCCTCTCTCTCTCTCTTCTCCTCTCTCTCCTCTCTCTCTCTCTCTCGCGCGTCTCTCTCCCTTTTTCCCTCAACTGGTGGACGCCCCTGGCCGAGAAACAGTGTGCTTCCCTCTTACAAACTGCATCAGGGCCTACATTAATTTACAATGCAATTACATGGATCGTTATGTGAGAACTACATTCCTCCCATGCAGATGTCCAAAGTGAAATCCAGCCTCTCCAACTTCAACAACTCGCATTTCTCTTCTCTATTACTGACAGGAAAACTATAAACTCAGTCAATTGTCTTCTGGAATAGCTATAGCCACATGTTTTTTTATTTGGCGACCGGGCCAGAGTTTGACATAAGAGGTTTTTCCACCTGATGTAGTGTTGAATGTGCTCTGAGGCAGGACACTTTCTGGCATGCCCCGAGCTGTGTGGTGCCAAGCCAAGCCTTGATTTGACAGCCTATATTTACTGCTATTGTTTAGACCAGAGGGGCAAAATGTTACCACCTCTGTAATCAACCCCAAATGCTATGGTTATCAGAGCTTTTCTGAGGGTGGTGGGGCATGTCCATTATACTGTTGGTATTCTTCCACTAGACTGTATTGTTTGTTTTTGGACTGTGATCATACAGAGTTAACATTTAAGAATGCCTTTGCTATTTATATTTTTACCCAATGCTGTGCGTGCAGTTGTTCACAAGGTCTGTGAAACATCATTTTACATTCAGACAAAGAGCTGGAGCGGAGCGTGTGTGTTAGAAGAGGAAGTCAATGGAGAGGAAACCCATCCCAGAGAAATACATTTATCATGGGATCAATAGCCCATGAAATTAACTGTAAAGCACAATGATATATATTTGTGCACCTTCTCTGAATATAGGATCTCTGTATATGAATGATAGTAAAAGCCATAATCTACTGGAGGATGACCTTTCGAAGGAAGAGCTAAAATCCCTCAATGGTTAGCTACATGAGGTGATGTTCAGTTAAAACCAGAACATGGTTACAGTAATCACACAAGGTTCATTACTCATGGTTACATTTTCTATAAGCAAATGCCTTCTGGAATTGCACAACCAGAGACAAGGTCATAGAGAATACCCTTGAGCTAATGACAGACAAGCTCACCTGCGATGGGTGGCCCCAGGAGGCCGCCGCTGCTGCGGATGAGCATGAAGAAGCCGAGGGCGCTCCCCAGCCGCTGCACGCCTACCACCTCAGCCAGCACGGTGATGTGGATGGAGACGGTGGCCCCGAACACCAGGCCATAGGCTGCACTGAAGGCAGCCAGCGCTGGGAAGGAGGAGGCCAAGGGACACAGCAGCAGCACTATACCCAGCAGGATCACAGTGGCAGTCAGCTGTTGCACCATCTCCACCAGATGCAGGTTGGCCACCCAGCCGAAGAACACCCGGCCCGTCAGGTCCAGAGCTGCTGAGATGGACATGAGGGCAGCCGCCTGGTACTCCTCCACTCCCTGGCTCCGGGCATAGGGCACAAGGAAGAGGGCCGGGGCAAAAAAGCCCAGAGCAGCAAACACCCCGAACATGGAGTAGACCATGAAGCGGGGGTTGGTGATGAGTGTGTAGTCCACGTAGTGCAGGACTTTGCTCCGTAGCGCATCCTTTCTGGCCTTCTGGGCTTGGGCCTTCCCTGTACCCTCCACTGTCCCCTCAGAGCTGGATTTAGTCTGGGGCAAGGCATCCAACGTCAAGTCCCCTTCCTCCTCTCTGACCTCCTTGGGAGGCAGCTTAGTGGGGGTGTTCAGGGGGCGCAGTAACATCCCACAAACACACAGGTTGAGCTGCAGGCCCCCCAGCACCAGCATGGCCCCCCTCCAGGAGTAGTGGTCAACCAGCAGCTGGAACAGGGGTGTCAACAGGAAGGTGATGATGCACTCTCCAGCACTGGCGAGGGCGTTGGCCATGGGCCTCCTCTTCTCAAAATACCAGCCCACCATGGTCACTGTGGGGGTCCAGGTCAGGGCATAGCCAAAACCTACAGGGCAAGTAAAGACCACAGCACTGTCTGTGTGACTGGAGAAATAAGTAATTTAAGGAAAGATTGGGATGCAAACTCTTCGGTTTTCAGCGATATTCTGGATGTCGATTAAGGTAGCCCCCTGCACCTCTCTGATTCAGAGGGGTTGGGGGGGTTGCTTATTAGAAACAGAGTTAAATTGCACTAATTTATCATAAATCATGAACAGAATGCATCAGTGATTCGTATTTCCTGCAACTTTCTGAAGAAGTAACGTCTGTTTCAATGAGCCTGTGTGTTGTTGTGTAGCCAGTTAGCATGCCTAAACAGTCATTTCTAAAAAGGCTTTCCCAAAAAACCTTCCCAATGAAATGTTGACTGCAAAGTAGGCCTACCTGGCAGAATGATATCATGATGATTTGTATCATCGGGTGGGGATTTGTTTTGCAAACTCTTCCCATCACATGAAACACCGCTACAAGAACCGCTACAGACCGCTAGCGCTAGCCAAACAATGGTCTCTAGCTGGTGCACAATTGAATTAAAGGACAACTACACACTCACCCCCCAAAAAATCGGATTTTCCCCAGACCTCAAAAATGGTCTCCTGATGTGGTTTTAGCATTCTTGTGGACTTATAATATCCAATTTGGTAGTTTTTTTTATTTTAAAAAGTGTGTTTTTGAGAGTGAACACCAGAAAAAATTGGGAACAATCCCAAACCTGGAAAAAAGAAACAGAGAAAACGTAATTTGGCAATAAAATAAATAATTATAATTATAATGCCCTGTCTGGGGAGACTGAGATTAACATGACCTGTCATGATAAACCTTAAGCGCAGACCAAAGAGCCCAACTCCCCCTGCCCTAGGACACTATGTTCTCTATCTATTGTGGTTTGGAAAGTAAGGAGTATTGAGATTAATTAAATGCGTATTATCTACTTGTTATTCAAAAAAAAAAAAAAGGTGCTAGAAAATGTGGTCACTTTTTGGGTCTGCCAACCTGATCTATGTGTGTTTGTATCTATACTGTCAGACCACTTACCGGTTAGGAGTCCTACAGTGATGTAAAGTTGAACCAGGTTTTGGGCGTAAGCCCCAGCCACCATCCCCGCGCTGCTCAGTAGACCCCCTATCATCACCACGGCCCGGTGGCTGTAGCGAGCACTCAGAGCAGACGCCATGGGGGCTGAACAGGGAAACACAGGAGAGACAGCCAGACTAAGTATAAAAACTTTGTGAAAGACAAATGCAGCCAAGAGTTCCAAGCTGATGTGAAGTTTACAGTGCTGATTATATTTCCATATTCTATTGTAATCCTGTGAATCTCCACTCTCATCTGACTGCAACTAGTTCAATTAATTGATCTGTTTCTCATCAACACATATTTCGTGCTCTTCATGTACACTGCTTTTCTCTTATAGATTTGTTTTCTTGTGGTTTTTACTCTTTGGCTGAGGTGGCATCAATTACACACTCCGAAGCTCAGGTCAAAAATGAGAGTGGTGAGCTTCAGCAAAACATAATTGGGCTTCTAAGGTGGGGGTCTGGCGACTAGGGTAGAAGGTGGGTTTTGCTTTCACTTCAAATTTCATGCACAAGATTGCTTTTTAATATATCACTTAACAACACTATAGCTAGCAAGATGGAATGTTAATGGCATTAATGGCCATAATAAACAAGCGGCCTGCTTAGATTACTTTCGTAGACATAACAATGTTATATTTATTCAAGAGTTCCACCTAAAATAATCTGATGCCCAAAGATTTGCAAACAGGCATTATGTTGCAGTGTCATCCTCTGTAGATTCCAAAACTCGTGGCTCCCTTGTTGTCATGAGACATAGTTTAACACTGGCTGTTCTGGAAAGATATGGTAGTGCTGACGGTAGGATATCATATATCTTATATCAAAACTGTAATCTCAGGTAGGAAAATGGCTTTTATATCAGTATATGCTCCAACCGACATTTTTTGAAAATCTAATATTACAGATTTTTCTCTGATCATAGGTGCGGATAAGAATGCAGTTTTATTAACTTTGACCACCAATCTAATACAGGTCTCTCATTCTCGTTGGCGCCAAAAGTTAATAAAGTGTTGATAGGGGACAGAATGCGGTCGGACCATCATATAATTGGCATATACATTACTCTTACTGAATTTCCACGTGGGCGAGTATATTGGAAATTTAATCAAAGCCTATTGGATGATAATTTATTTTTAACTAGGACAAAGGAATTTATAACTGACTTTTTCCGACATAACACAGGTTTAGCAAATCCCCTTATTGTATGGGACACCTTTAAATGTGCCTTTAGAGGCCATGCAATTCAGTACTCATCCTGAAAACAAAAGCAATTTAGGTCAAAAGAGTTTATACTAACAAAGGAAATAGAAAGTCTAACAGAACAGATAGATGGCAATAAAAACTGTAACATAGAGGCTCAGAATAAATTAGAGGAAAAACTAAAAGAAATGGAGAAACTAATTCAAGAAATATCAAGTGTAATATATTATAAAAATAAAGCAAACTGGATGGAATATGGGGAAAAATGCACCAAATTATTTTTTAATCTTCAAAATAGGAATGCTACCAAAAATAATTTAATGAAATTGGTTACAATTGACGGAGTAACCCATGATTCACCAAATTATATTTTGAAGGAAGAAACAAGGTACTTTAAGCATATGTTTTCGTTTCAGTCGCCTCCATCTCCTCTAACTGAAGCTAATTGTAGAGATTTTTTTTCTATTGATAATGTAAAATTAACAGCCAAACAGAAAGACTCATGTGAAGGTGAAATTACAGAGGAGGAACTTCTGGATGCAATTAAAGACTTTAAGTCTGGGAAAACACCAGGGTTGGATGGCATACCAGTCGAAGTATACCATTCTAGCAAAATGTATAGCGCATAGAATTAAAAAGGTATTGTCGGATATTATTCATTCTAATCAGACAGGTTTTTTACATGGCAGATACATTGGAGATAATATAAGGCAAGTCTTGGAAACAATAGAACATTATGGAAAATCTGAGAAACCAGGCCTGCTTTTCATAGCAGACTTCGAAAAGGCATTTGATAAAGTACGACTGGGGTTTATATATAAATGCCTGGAGCATTTCAATTTTGGTGAATCTCTTATAAAATGGGTCAAAATCATGTATAGTAACCCTAGGTGTAAAATAGTAAATAATGGCTATTTCTCCGAAAGTTTTAAACTGTCAAGAGGAGTGAAACAAGGTTGTCCACTATCGGCATATCTATTTATTGTGGCCATCGAAATGTTAGCTATTAAAATCAGATCCAACAATCATATCAGGGGATTAGAAATCCAGGGCTTAAAAACAAAGGTGTCATTGTACGGTGATGATTCATGTTTTCTTTTAAATCCACAACTAGAATCACTCCACAGCCTCATAGAGGATCTAGATATATTTTCTAACCTCTCTGGATTACAACCAAATTATAACAAATGTACTATATTACGTATTGGAAAAATAAAAAATAAAAATTTTACATTGCCATGTAGTTTACCAATAAAATGGTCTGATGGTGATGTGGATATACTCGGAATACATATCCCAAAGGAAATAAATGATCTCACTTCAATAAATTATAATAGAAAGTTAGCAAAAATAGATAAGATCTTGCTACCATGGAAAGGTGGGTGCCTGTCAATTTGTGGAAAAATCACCCTGATTAACTCTTTAGTATTATCCCAGTTTACCTATTTGCTTATGATCTTGCCTGCGCCTAGCGAACAGTTTTTGAAATTATATGGAGAAAAAAATATTCAATTTTATTTGGAATGGCAAGCCAGACAAAATTAAATGGGCCTATTTATATAATGAATATGAATTCGGAGGACAGAAATTATTAAATATTAAAGCATTAGACCTATCACTAAAAGCTTCAGTCATACAAAAGTTATACTTAAATCCGAACTGGTTCTCTAGCAAATTAGTAAGATTGTCACACCCAATGTTCAAGAATGGCCTTTTTCCCTTTATTCAGATTACAACCACTCACTTTCAGTTATTTGAAAAGGAAATCATCTCCCAGATATCACTATTTCTAAAACAAGCCATAGAAAGTTGGTTGCAATTTAATGCAACAAATAATGCAACAAATATTGTGGTTAAACTCAAATATAGTAATTGACAAAAAACTTTTTTTTTAACAAAATGTTTAAAAAAGGTATAATCTTTGTAAATAATATCATCGGTAGGACTGGTGGAGTTATGTCGCACATGCAGCTAACAAAATCATATGGAAATGTCTGCTCTACCCAAAATTACAACCAAATAATTGCAGCGTTAAGAGATAGATGGGAGGTGTTGAATGGAATGGAAGGATGGGACTAATAACAACTAACAACAAACAATAACAAGATAACTAATAATGTAGGCACGCTGTGTCCATAATAAGTGTATGGGTTGTAGGTTGGGAGCTTTTGTGAAGGAGCACAGTTATAAAGATATGGCATATAGAAGCAAACCGGATGGACATCATGAAAATGATCGGAGAGGTTGAGAGTAGAAGAAGTTCAGGAGAAATAACAAACAAAATGTAATTACTGTAAAATTGACTGTGTCCATAAAATGTAGATAGTGGGTATGAGCTGGAAGTAGAGGCCTAGGCGTTGTTGTTCACTAGTTTACTCCAAGTGGGGAAAGGGTGGCGGGGTTGGAAAGTAATAAAGGGGAATATATATATTTTAAAAAAGGATATGTATGTATGTATGTATGTATGTATGTATGTATGTATGTATGTATGTATGTATGTGTGTGTGTATGTGTGTATATATATAATAAATTGACGACGGACTCGCTCAAGCTGTCGGGACTAACCCACAACATTAGACACGGACACGAACGATCTGCTTGGCGTGTTGACACACTGGTGGTTTGTTGTGGCCGAGTATTGGTGCTAAACCGTGTTGTTGGAGTCCGGCATGCTAGCTGGCTGTGGCGTCTTATGACTAGGTGCCCTGGACGATTTTCACAGAAGAATACTGTACCAAGTTAGCTAGCTGAATAAACTAAGTTAGTCTATTCCTAGAAAACATTGAACCGCTGTAGTTTACAACAATTATAGTTTCTGAGGTGGAAGTTGGGAGAGTTATATTTGGGTGTTGTGGTGAGGGAGGCCCCGCTCTCTCCTTTCCCAGATGTTTAGTTCATTTCATTCCGATCTCCTTTGCATTATTGTAGCCATTCTCTGCAGCCTGTCAACTATGCCTCTGTCTATCCCTGTTCTCTCCTCTCCGCACAGGCTATACAAACGCCTCACACCGCGTGGCTGCTGCCTCTCTAACCTGGTGGTCCCTGCACGCACCACCCACGTGGAGTTCCAGGTCTCAGGCAGCCTCTGGAACTGCCGTTCTGCTGCCAACAAGGCAGAGTTCATCTCAGCCTATGCTACCCTCCAATCCCTCGACTTCTTGGCGCTGACGGAAACATGGATTACCACTGAAAACACTGCTACTCCTACTGCTCTCTCCTCGTCTGACCATGTGTTCTCGACCAGCATCTCCTCGTCTGACCAGCATCTGGTCAGCGGGGTGGTGGCACAGGAATCCTCATCTCTCCCAAGTGGACATTCTCTATTTTTCCCCTGACCCATCTGTCTATCTCCTCATTTGAATTCCATGCTGTCACAGTCACTAGCCCATTTAAGCTTAATATCCTTGTCATTTATCGCCCTCCAGGTTCCCTTGGAGAGTTAATCAATGAGCTTGACGCCTTGATAAGTTCCTTTCCTGAGGATGGCTCACCCTTCACAGTTCTGGGGGACTTCAACCTCCCTACGTCTACCTTTGACTCATTTCTCTCTGCCTCCTTCTTTCCACTCCTCCCACTCCCTCCTTCTTTTGACCCCCCCCCCCCCCCCCCCCCCCCCCCCTCCTCTCTGTTGGATGACTTCGTCAACCATTTTGAAAGAAGGTTGACGAATCCCGATCCTCGTTTGTTAAGTCAAATGACACTGCTGGTCCTGCTCACACTGCCCTACCCTATGCTTTGACTTCTTTCTCCCCTCTCTCTCCAGATAAAATCTTGCGACTTGTGACGGCCGGCCGCCCAACAACCGGCCCGCTTGACCCTATCCCCTCCTTTCTTCTCCAGACCACCTCCGGTGACCTTCTCCCTTACCTCACCTCGCTGATCAACTCATCCTTGA